AAAATTTTTCATAGTTCTTTTTTCAGATTCATTAGTTACTTATGCTGAACAAAGAAGCGTTTATATATTTACTCAATGGGACGAAGGACTTCTTTAAGCAATCAAAGCGGACCTCTGCTATATCACCGATCATAAAATTATGCGCCGCGTTACGATTTTTTGCAGATGGCAGTTACCAAAAGAGTGGCGGTAACGATTTTAATGTTGGTTTAGCTCAACCTACATTTTCTGTGGTTCTTGAGGAAGCTCTAAACATCCTAGAACAACGAGTCTGTACACGGTGGATCAAGGCGGCGATGACCCCTGATGAAGTATAGAATTCCAAACTGGCTGTTTACGCTCAAAGTGGATTTCCAGGAGTAATAGGCAGCGTTGACGGTATGCATGTTCGAATCTGTGCACCACGAAATGAAGTACAGCATCTATATCTTAACAGAACAGGCTACTACAGCCTTAATGTGATGATTGTGAGTCTTGATTTTCTTTATCTAAATATTATTCATGCACTCACTTTTTTTAGTTTTCAGACTATAAACAGAATATCAGGTTCGTTGACGCCAGATACCCAGGTTCTAATCATGATTCCCATATATGGAATGTATATAAAATTATTTCTAGGTGATGCAGGATATCCACTAGGAAGAATTATAATGACCCCATTTCGCAATACAGTTGATGGCTCACCACAAAGGAACTACAACAAAATTTATGCTAAAGCAAGGAACTCCATTGAGAGAACTATTGGCGTTCTGAAAAGCAAGTTCAGGTGTTCTGCTAGGGGTTTGCACTACGCGCCGGAAAAAGCTATGCAAATTGTTAATGCTTGCTGTGCTTTACACAACAATTCTCAGCATTTCAAAGTTCAATTTCCCGATACCATTTTGAGCACAGATAATCAACAAGAATCCACACCTGTGGAAAATAATTCAGCATCGAATGGCGAAGCAGAAAGAATAAGGAACAACATAATGCGTTCATTGCAATAAATTTCAGATGTATTTCATTTCAAATTAATAAATTAATTAATTTCCTAGAAAGTAATAAAAAATTAATTTTTCAAGTAAAGAGTACTTACGTAACTAATAAAATCAACGTGGTTTCTTAAGTGATAAAAAGGTTATTTACATTGAAAAAAATAATTAAATTCATTAAAAAACATAATAATTCATTCTATAAAAAGGTCCATTTCTTAATATATGCTAGATATCACCCATATTCAATTCTTCAGTATTTTAAGTTTTTCTTTAGCAATTTCTATCTTTAGCTTCCTAAGGACACTTGCTTCTTTTTCACGTTCCTTCAACAACTTCACTTCTCCTTTCTTTAGCTGGTACACTTTATGCTGCGTGCTTTCTATTTTTTTGAGGGTTCGCAGAATTTGAGTTTATGTTCCTGCCTGCCCTTCGAGTAATTGAATTTTGGCTTCGCTTGCCTTCAGTCGTTTGGGTCTCGTGGGCACAGCATTTTCATTAACTACCGGCGAATCAGTAGCTGGAGGAGTTATATTTTCTTCTGCGGTCAAATCAACAGCTAACACGAACGCGCTCCCAGGGGGATTAATTGATAAGTTAACTTGAGTAAGCTCACACACCCTTTCTTCAGTAGCAGTCAAACTGACTTCTTGGGATGGGCCACCGCCGGTCGCAAGGAAGTTTTCTTTACTTTTCGCCAACTTTCGTTCTAGGTTGGCTTTATAATTAATCCATACCTAAATAATAAAATCAGAATAATTTTTTTGTTGTTTGTTTTGGTTAAAAGTAACTTACCCGTTGCTATTCTGGCCCTGTTCTTGATGGCGGTCCAAGGCTGTTCTGCTCGACTGCAAACTGCACCCAAGTATCTTTTTTTTCTTGGCGACTAGATCCGTATTGGCCTTTCCCTCTTCCAATGTCGGGATGTTTTTCGACTAAATCGACAAGGCGGTCAATTTGTTTGATATTTTCCTGAAATAATTGTTTAATCATACATTTGCTGCATGTTACAAATACTTACAATGTTTTTTCCATTTTACCGCTTGCTAACAAGAACACAACTGATAAAAAGTAGTTGTCGCACTTTGACAGCTCATACAACTAAACTTTAGTTTGGTTGTGAAACATAATACTGGTAACAACTTAACGAAGACAACTAAGTGAACAGCTGATTGAAAGTTGAGTTGAGTTGTAAATCGTAATACGAAATCGACAACTACAACTTAACTATTAGTTGAGTAGCGAATCATAATAGCGGCAAATAAAATTTGCAATAAATAACTCAAAAAGACATGAAACATGTGTTTGTGATCAGCTGATTTTCTTACTTGCAAGTTTTAGCTGGGAAGAATTTTTCCAGCAGAAATTTGCAGCTCTCTTCCACATTTTGCTCTCTCAATTTCCCCTACTTTGCAAGTTTTTTGGCATCATCCCTTGGTATGCAATGTAAAATTAAGCTCAAAACCACTTGACATCGACTCGTTTCTTCAGCGATTCTGGGAGCGTCATCAACATTGTCCATTGAACACCGTCGATGCGAGCAACACTTTATTGAAACCGTCAAAGTTCAAAGCATTGGCCGCATAAAGGTTAGGGTCCCATATTAACTTTCGCCAGAAATATTAGGAACCTCTTTCCACAGCGCAAAAGAGAGATTTTTCTCGCTTGAACGGCGCTTGTTACGCGACAAAACTTTAACGAGTATGTACTCTGATTTCATAAAGGAATACGTGGCACTTGGCCACATATCTCCAATTACTGATTTCGATTTCGGAAATTCGCATTACGTCATTCCACATCACTGTGTTCTCAGACCACAAAGTGCTACCAC